ATATATATATATATATATTTAAACAACCATTGTATTACTTCTCTTTCTTAAATAATATTAATATATCTTCAAATTAATTAGAGTGTGTGTCATATATTATTTCTTTCTCCTAGTTAATATTTGTCTTTTTCCTGGCCAATTAGAATATATATTTTTTAAAGAGTGAATAATTAATAAATTTTACCAAATTAAGAGAACGTGTTTTAATTAGGGACATTTTATCTAAAAATAATTAATGCGTAAAATAATATAAATTATGTTTTATATAAAAGAATAATAAATTATTTTAAATTAGATCTTATAAATAGAAACGAAAATAGTATTATTTATATATACAATATGTTTATTTATAGTTGTTAAAATGAATATTTTTATTTGTTATAAACCATGCGTTTATTTATATATAAAATGATGAATAAATATAAGAATGTTATGATTTTAATTTGATGTAGTTGTCATTAAAATTATGCTTTCTTCTTTACTATATTATTCTTATGATTATCATAATTCGTTGACACTTTATCTTCTAAAGTACACTCTTTAAGAAATCAAATCCAAAAAATTAATAATAGATATAAAAATACTCACATATTATAAAAATAATAAAATTTTATTGTAATTATAATATTAAAATATTATAAAATCAAAATTTTAAAATTTTTACTTGAATAAATATTTTTTTTAAAATATTATCTATACATATTATAAAAGGGATATATTTTGATAATCACTTTTTAATGGACTATTATACTTCTTGAATGTAAAAAAAAAAAAAAAATCTTATATCTTCTTTGAATAACTATTCACAACTTCTTAATATTTGTTTGTGTGTAACTATTAGAAGAGTTATAATAATAATAAAAAAATTATTTATATTAAGAATCATAAATTTGAATTTTAAAAATAGGGGTAAATTGGAAAAGGAAAAAAGAAAAAGTGGATGGATTTGACCGGGAATTTTTTTTTCCAGCTATTGACACCAATACTCCTCAATCTTTTATTAACAGTAAGATTACAAATATGGTTAAACGTGTTTAAACTATTATACCAAGATTAAATATGAAGTGATCATGTTTTTCGATTTTTACAAATTCAAGGAATTTTAAATTCTTGGTATTTGAATTACTTTGATTTCAATCTCTATCATTCTTAAAATATTTTGTTTGGATGAGTCAATTCAAATTTCTTAAATTTTAAATTGTTAGATTGAATATGATAATTTAATTCTACCATAATAAAATTGATTTTAAAAATATATTTATATGTTGAGATTTTAAAATTAAATTTTATAAAATAAATATTAATCCATTTTTAAATATTTAAAAAATTTAAAAATTAATATTAGATAATATTTAATAACTTTAAAAATATTTTTGAATATCTAATAATTAAAAGAATGAAGAGATAAGATAAAATATATAGGTGAAATAAGAAAACAAATATGAGGAATTTCAAATTCTCTCATTTTTTGGAGAATTTGAAATTATACTATTTGAAGGAATTTCACAAATGCTTGGATTTCAAATTCTTTGTAAATTCCTCATCCCAACAAAACATTTCACCTCAAGGAATTTGAAATTATTCAAATAAATGAATTACCCTTTATAAATTCCCCATCCAAACACATCATAATTGTTCAAGAATTCTCATTAGATACTAATTAAATTGTGCAATCAATTGTTATCAGGATTTTTTTAATAATTTATATGCGAAGAAGCTAGAAGATAATTAACATATTTTAATTCATTTTCAAAATTGGATGATTGAAAGTATAAAATTAAAATTTAAAATAATAAATAAAATTATAAAACATGAGAATAGATAATAAAAAATTATGACAGCTCGAAGAGAACATTACCTTTTAGTTTTAACTCGAGCCATTGGGACACTTTACTTATAATCACATTTTGTTTTACTGGAATGAACGATTTACCTAAACTCTAATAACGTATAGTCACGTAGGTTGAATTTGTTAGGTTTTATACTTTTTTGAGAACAGGTTTTATACTTTTATAACACTTTAAGAATTATATTTAATATTTTTTTTTATTCGTTTCTAGAGTCCACCGCCGATAGCAGTAACTAATCTTCTCGCTACGTTGAAGACACCTCAACGGGTGGGATAGCTAGAATTATATTTAATATAATATCTGTTGATTGATAGTGTAAATTTTATTGTTTTAATAATACATAAAATTAACTTTATAGAAATTATATATAAAATATAGTACATTATATGAACATTTTTTCATGAAACACTATAAAAATCATAATAAAAAAATAAATAAAAACAAGGGAAAGGAGTTATTTATGATAGCATTCAGAAATAAAAACTTAATTTAATTTCCCTAAAATTTATTTAATATTTAAACGATTAGAAAAAAGTTAATATAAAATTCCTTTCTTATTCAATTTTATAATAGTGTTAATATATATTTTGATGATTTTACTTATTATCGTCTAACTAAACTAATTTATTGAGTATGTGAAATACACTAATCACAATACTAACCTATAAAATTTAGTTACATATAATAAATACACTAACTAAATACTAGCATGTGAAATACACAAATATAATAAATATATTTTCTTATAATTTGAGGATGAACATTTTTTATATGAAAATAAGTAGAGGTCTTTACATTTAATTTCCGAAGATAAATAATATACATAAAATCAAATTAATATTTAAATTATTATTGTAAAATTATACCTTTTTAATTCATTACCATAATAATTTAAATATAATTTTTTTTTTGCTTTCTCTTTTCTGACTTAACTAATTTATTAAATTTATTTTATGTAACATAAGAAGTATACATAAAATATGATATGTGAAAATGAATATTTCTCATGAAAGTACAAAAAGAAATTTATACCTCACTCAAAGCCTGAATAATTTATCTTGCTTGATTATAATAGTCAGTCCATGCATTGCATGGGTGGGACTATTAGTTGACCTCCACCACCATATTTATCATGTTATCAATTTTGTCGCTTACAAATCACAATACATAAATGGATGAAAACTTGAATGGAGTACAAAAATAAATATTCATTTCTCATATATTTTGAATTTTGTTGCCATTTGGTGAGATCAAAGTTCCAATGAGCAAAATACATTTATTTATTTTTACAAAAGGTTGATTTTTGTTATGATAAACATTTGGATTTAAGGTTGCAATTGACGAAAAGTAAAAGTGTGACACCTTTGGAATAAAAGGATAAGATTGAATTTTAATTTTGATGTTCGGAGTTAGTTAACCAACCAATTGAAATATTATCCCTGCGAAATAGTGAAGAATCACACGCAGTGAGACATTTCCGTACCCTCGGACTTTTCGGAACCCATATGTTAACAAACAAGAAACAAGACACCCATTTCACTTATGCCTTCCAAACTCAACAACAAATCTAAATTTCAAATTTTTTCATTTTCTGCCCCACAAAGATCCTTCATTCTAGTTCTCCAATTTTCAATGATGAAGATGGGTAACTTGGTTCCATAGGACCCACCACCACCCAAGATTTTCACCGTTTCCTTTTCGCTTTTGTTGTCGTAGTGCCAGTAAGTGACAAATCTTTGTCCCTTCATTCACATCTTATATATTATTTTAACGACCTTTGTTAACCGCTGTAACAAATTTTCTTTTTTAATTAAAAAGGGAGGGTGGATTTGATTAGAGGGACTCTTTGATCGAATTAAATTTTAAAGTTTAGCTTCATTTTATTTCCCTTTGAATTTGCACTGTTATTTGATTCCACATGCTTTAAACTAAGGATTCTGAAGAGGAGAAAAGATAGCATGGGGTTGCGGTCGGAGTTGATTTAATTGATTCATGGGTTGATGTGTTGAAGGTTAGGTTAGTTTAACTGAGATTGGTGCAGGAATTAATTTGTCATAAGGGTTTGAAATTGTGATCAGTATGACAATGTGTGATTGCAGACCACATCAAGAATTCAAATTGCGGTTATGCAATCCTTGGTTTTGCGAAAAAATACTGACGAATGTGGCAGCAATTGCTATTGGAATGCAGTCACAAAGGCCCAAAAATCCTTGACATTATGGCTGTAATTGTGGTTGCAAATTGTTGTTTAAAACCTTGGATCGCATTAGGAAGTAGCCTAGCTATAACTGCAATGCAAATGCAACCACAATTTAAAACCCTTCTTTGAATTATGTGAATTGTTTTGTTTAGAGTGATTTTGGTTGCATTGATTCTTGTGGTCATTGGCTGAATTGGTCTAAATGGACAATCTTGCTATTTAGTTCAAGTCACAATTATGCCTTAATATGTTTCAATTTAACCATGCAGCGTGTTTGTATTATAAAGATTCATCATGGTTACGAAAGGGAACCCTGGGGACCATAGGAATAATAGGAATTCAGTGCCTATTTTCATCATAGTTGGCTTGTGTGGTTTCTTCTATGTATTGGGTTTGTGGCAACGGAGTGGTTTTGGAAAGGGAGACAGTATAGCTGTTGAGATTACTAAACAGACAGATTGCAGTATTCTCTCTGATCTAAACTACGAGACCCACAATGGGGATGATGCTGATGCTCCTAATGCACAAGTGAAGGAGTTCCAGCCGTGTGACGATCGCTACATTGATTACACGCCTTGTCATGATCAAGCACGAGCAATGACATTTCCCCGGGACAATATGGCTTATAGAGAAAGGCATTGTCCTCCTGATGAAGAAAAACTGTATTGTCTCATACCTGCCCCTAGAGGATATGCAACACCGTTTCCATGGCCCAAGAGTCGCGATTATGTACCATATGCAAATGCACCTTACAAGAGCCTGACAGTTGAGAAGGCTGTGCAGAATTGGATACAGTATGAAGGAAATGTTTTCAGGTTCCCTGGTGGTGGAACACAGTTTCCCAAGGGAGCTGATGCTTACATTGATGAACTTGCTTCTGTTATTCCAGTGGATAATGGGATGATTAGAACTGCATTGGATACTGGCTGTGGGGTACGTCAAATCTAAGTAAACATCCTTATTTTGGTTGCATCTATTTTGCTGGCTTCTACATAATGTTTACATGAAGAAATTATAGTCCTCTTTCAAATTTGGACTCCGTAGTTGTACATGTAGCTTCCATTTATTATATATTGTAGCTCGTTTCTGATTATTGACGGTGTTAGGTTGCTAGTTTTGGTGCATACTTGTTCAAGAAAAATGTTGTTACCATGTCAATTGCACCACGGGACTCTCATGAAGCGCAAGTTCAATTTGCTTTGGAAAGAGGTGTTCCAGCAATCATTGGTGTTCTTGGAACAATAATGCTTCCCTTCCCTTCTGGAGCTTTCGACATGGCACATTGTTCTCGCTGCTTGATTCCATGGGGTGGAAATGGTGAGAATAGCTCTGATGTTTCTGTCCTGGGACAATTAAAATATATCTTTTGGGTTGATAAATAAATTTCTTAGTATCTCTTTAGGAGAATTCCATATCTTAGTAGGGCTTTTATGATGAAAAAATAAACATTTTTTTATGATATACATACATACACACATATATATGCATACATAACTATAATTCAAAGCCTGATTCAGCTTGTATTGAATGTAAAGAGTTAACAACTTAAGAGGCTCGCTTGTTGATTACTTGGATTTGTTCATACCCTTAAACTATGGCTTGATTTAATTTATAATGATTTTCAAATTTCCTATACCAGATTCAAAGGTTGGCTTGTTGACTACTTGGATTTGTTCATAGTGGCCTTAGAGAACCTAAATTAATTTCACGCACTTAAACTATTGCTTGGTTTTATTTATAACGATTTTCAAAGAGACTTTTTTCTTATACCAGATTAATGTCTGATTTTTATTCGTTGTCTTTCTTGGTTTCTTATTTACTATTTGATGGTTGTTAACAAAAGTAGTACTTTGGCTTTTTGGTTGTAAGAAATATCTTTACACTGTATTTATTGGAATTTCTTTTCTAGATGGAAAGTACATGAAGGAAGTTGACCGGGTTCTTAGACCTGGTGGTTACTGGGTACTCGCTGGTCCTCCTATCAACTGGAAGAATAACTACCGAGCATGGCAACGTCCTGAATATGAGCTGGAGGAGGAGCAACGGCAGATTGAGGATACTGCTAAACTTCTTTGCTGGGAAAAGAAATATGAAAAGGGTGAAATTGCTATCTGGAAAAAAGCATTACATAGTGATGATTGCGGTGAACAAGATGCTAAACCTACAATGTGTGATACCACAAATTCTGATGATGTCTGGTAAATTATTTCACCCATATATTGCCCCTTCTCTTTTTTCGCTTCATTGATTAGTTAATACTTTATGTTCTATTATTAGTTTATGATAGACTCTACTTGTATTGAAAGAGAAAATTGAAGGAATTTTTTAAATTTTTGGTTGTTTATTGATATACCCAAAACCTGCATATATAGTCCATAATATAAAACTTAAACCAGACAGTCCAGAATATAAAACCTAAACCAGGCAGTCCATAATAGAAATTTAAATTATATTTCAAAATTGAATGACAAAGAAAATAATATATAAATGTTAAAAAACATAAATTATAACAATGTAACTCCTATAATCCTAAAAAAGCTATAAAACATATGTTTGTCAATGCTATCAAACTAGTAACATAATATCTAACTAACTAAACTTAGAAATCTAACTAATATATACTTTGAAGAAAGTAAATTTACGTCATCTTTTCTAGGCGACGTAAATTTACGTCTCCCGTATTAACGTCGGAGCCTTTTCTGACGTGAAAGCCTCAAAATATACGACGTAAAAGAACCCTTTTGTACTAGTGAGTTCACCAAATAATTCGTTATACACATTTGAAACATATTGTAATGTGTATACCGGATCTATGTAAGATTTATATTTGTGGTGAACATGCTTACATGCAGCAACAACATGGGAGCATGGCATGTGTAGCTTCTGGAATTTCCCACAATCACACCACTTGTCATGTAGTCTAACCGTGAATGTTCTAGTAGGTCATGTTTCCCTTGGGTTAATGGTCTCTTGCACCAGGAAACGTGTACTATGACGATCAAATTCGAGTACATGATGACTATTAGCCTTTGATTCTGCATCTCTCATGGCCCTATTCATTATTTCCATAAAAACTTGGCCAACCCTAAGTTTAGCATCGACTTCCTTCCCCCTTTGGATGAATAAGGCATTACATCTCTTATAAGTCGACATGATGATTGGAGAAATTGAAAAATTTCTTTTTTTTTAAGAATGGAGTTAATTGCCTCAGCCAAGTTGGTAGCAATGTATCCCCATCATCGGCCACCGTCCCATGCAAGAGTCCATTGTTCTTTTGGTATGGTGTTGAGCCATTCAATTACACCTTCAGTTTCTGGTTCGCTCCTTAGCATGTTGTAGTAGTAATTGAATCTTGGCTTAGTCATCCCATAAGCTGTGAAATCAGATTAGCAAAAAATGAACAATTTAGTAATGTTGAAATATGGTGAAACAAATAAAAGTAATTAATGATGCTAAGTACATACCCATATTGATGATTAATTTTTTTCGTTCTGTATTCTTGAAATGCCTCGTGAAGTTTTGAGCTATATGGCAAATACAGAACACACGCACCGAATTCTCAGGTGTCCAACCACTGTCCTGTCTAGCGTAGGCATTTTTGATAGACTCGTGCCTGTCCGAAATTAAGCAAAGGCCATCTTGAGGGCAAACATGTCTTTTGAGATAATGTAGAAAGAAAAACCATGCTTCTGCTGTTTCACCCTCAATAATTGCAAAGGCAATTGGAAAGATTTTGTTGTTACCGTCTTGAGCCACGACCATAAGGAGAGTTCCTTTGTATTTGCCATACAAGAAT